TTCATCTGTCCAGAGACAATATGAAGGACTCCCAAGGTAACTCGCTCCTGAATCCTGAATGTATACCACTGTGCTATCACCTTTAGTGGACCTGTCCAGCTGGTGGGATAGGACACATCCAGGGATTGTGATGGTGGTGTCAGTTTCATTGCCTGGAAAGTATGATTCCATGAGTATGACTATGTCAAACTTCAGTCAATGTAAGGTGGTCCATTCAGTTTCATTCCTTTTGAGACCTTCTAGCAATTGTTACAACTGAATGACTTGCTTGGCCATTTCAGAGTATATTTACAAGTGAACAGACATTGCTGTAGGTCTGGAGTCACACCCTACAGTTTGGAAATGGGCCATACGGCCCAACAAGTCCACACCGCCCCTCTGAAGAGCATCACACCCAGACCCATTCCCCTACATTTCCCATGTCTAACTCGCCTAACCTAAACATCCCTGGGCACTATGGGCAATTTAGCATGGCCAACCCACCTACCCTGCACATCTTTGGACTGTGGGAGGAAACCAGAGCACCCAGAGGGAACCCACGCAGACACGGGGAGAATGTGCAAACTCCACACAGGCAGTTGCCCAAGGGTGGAATCGAACCCAGGTCCCTGGCGTTGTGAGGCAGCTGTGCTAACCACTGAGCCACCATGACATGATCAACAACCTCCAGAATTTCATTGTTAATGGTGATAGATGGCTACATGGTAACATTCTGGACCTATCTTACTGATGCTATTGGTCAAACCAAACCAAACCAAATTGGCTGAAAGCTCCCATTTTAAGATGCAGAACAATTTGACAAAAGAATAAAAGCATGAAAGAACCAAAGAAAGGAAAGAGAAAGAAAAAGTCACAGAAACCCAGCTAAGCACTTGGTCAAGATCAGCTAGCCAGTAGCTGTTTTTCACTGTGTATGTAGTTGTAGGGGAACTAAAAATAAATACCATGCAGGGGATATAATTGGCTTAGTTGGCACTCCATTGCATATACAAGTGCACATTCATAATGTATTACTATTTAAGAACCAAGCAACACAGGTCACCTGACCTTAGCATCATCTCATCTTAGAACTCTGTCCAAGGGAATGTAACTCTTTCTTAATGGCCAGCCTACACCTTGGCTATGCTAACCATAGTATTGCACTGTGTCTTCCATCAAAGCCAGGAAGGTTGTGGCCACTGATGAACCCCTTTCCGCCATAACCCTTTTCCTCCAATGCACTATCACCTCTCCCACTTATATGTTGAGTGGTCTCCCCTTCACAATTATTGACCCATGTACATCCCACGATAGTGTCTCCATTCCCCACAATTGACTTCCCCAACTTCACCACCACTGCAATGTTCCCTGATAATCCCCTAAACTTTTGTTCAGCTGATTCCATAGGAATGAATGTGGCTCATCCCCCTGACTGACTCGGATAGACAGCTCCAACCGATGGGTGACCAAGCTCCTGTCTGATCTCTGTGCAGTTCTCTGACTGACTTACCACTACTCTTTGGACTGATTATACTGGACCTGCAGGACTGACTTAGCCCATTCCCTGGTATTGTAGAGGTATGGATCCCATGACCTTGAAATCTCCAAGCGGCTGATAGATTGTGTCCAAGCTCCTGGACTGATGTTGCCCTTGACCTGCTGTTCTAGGACCCCCTATATGAAGTCTTCCTGCATTGGCCAGATGGAGAACTACTCCTCATAGGCTTTGAATTGTGGCTATTTGGTTGAAGCATGTGTAATGTAAACTGCTGGCACAAGCTGCAGATGGGAGATGGATGTAGCTGCCTGGTTTCGTGTCTGTGCTAAACAGCAACACAACGAAGAAGTACTGTGAACCTTTAAGCTCTTGAGGGATGGCATGTGAATGAAGAAAATGAAGTGGCAAAGGACCCTGGAGATAATTGTGCTGTCAGTATTCACACAGGAAAAAGACAATGTAGTCGAGGAGAATACTGAGATACAGTCTATTAGACTAGACGGGATTGAGGTTCATAAGGAGGAGGTGTTAGCAATTCTGGAAGGTATGAAAATAGATAAGTCCCCTGGGCCGGATGGGATTTATCCTAGGATTCTCTGGGAAGCTAGAGAGGAGGTTGCAGAGCCTTTGGCTTTGATCTTTATGTCATCATTGTCTTCAGGAATAGTGCCAGAAGACTGGAGACTAGCAAATGTTGTCCCCTTGTTCAAGAAGGGGAGTAGAGACAACCCTGGTAATTATAGACCAGTGAGCCTTACTTCGGTTGTGGGTAAAGTGTTGGAAAGGATTATAAGAGATAGGATTTATAATCATCTAGAAAGGAATAATTTGATTAGGGATAGTCAACACAGTTTTGTGAAGGGTAGGTCGTGCCTCACAAACCTTATTGAGTTCTTTGAGAAGGTGACCAAACAGGTGGATGAGGGTAAAGCGGTTGATGTGGTGTATATGGATTTCAGTAAAGCGTTTGATAAGGTTCCCCATGGTAGGCTATTGCAGAAAATACGGAGGCATGGGATTGAGGGTGATTTAGCGGTTTGGATCAGAAATTGGCTAGCTGTAAGAAGACAGAGGGTGGTGGTTGATGGGAAATGTTCATCCTGGAGTTCAGTTACTAGTGGTGTACCTCAAGGATCTGTTTTGGGGCCGCTGCTATTTGTCATTTTTATAAATGACCTGGATGAGGGCATAGAAGGATGGGTTAGTAAATTTGCGGATGACACCAAAGTCGGTGGAGTTGTGGATAGTGCGGAAGGATGTTGCAGGTTACAGAGGGACATAGATAAGCTGCAGAGCTGGGCTGAGAGGTGGCAAATGGAGTTTAATGCGGAAAAGTGTGAGGTGATTCACTTTGGAAGGAGTAACAGGAATACAGAGTACTGGGCTAATGGTAAGATTCTTGGTAGTGTGGATGAGCAGAAAGATGTGCATAGATCACTGAAAGTTGCCACCCAGGTTGATAGGGTTGTTAAGAAGGCGTACAGTATGTTAGGTTTTATTGGTAGAGGGATTGAGTTTCGGATCCATGAAGTCATGTTGCAGCTGTACAAAACTCTGGTGCGGCTGCACTTGGAGTATTGCGTACAGTTCTGGTCATCGCATTATAGGAAGGACGTGGAAGCATTGGAAAGGGTGCAGAGGAGATTTACCAGGATGGTGCCTGGTATGGAGGGAAGGTCTTATGAGGAAAGGCTGAGGGACTTGAGGCTGTTTTCGTTAGAGAGAAGAAGGTTAAGAGGTGACTTGATAGAGACATACAAGATGATCAGAGGATTAGATAGGGTGGACAGTGGGAGCCTTTTTCCTCGGATGGTGATGGCTAGCACGAGGGGACATAGCTTTAAATTGAGGGGTGATAGATATAGGACAGATGTCAGAGGTAGGTTCTTTACTCAGAGAGTAGTAAGGGCGTGGAATGCCCTGCCTGCAAAAGTAGTAGACTCGCCAACTTTAAGGGCATTTAAATGGTCATTGGATAAACATATGGATGATAATGGAATAGTTTAGGTTAGATGGGCTTCAGATTGGTTTCACAGGTCGGCGCAACATCGAGGGCCGAAGGGCCTGTACTGCGCTGTAATGTTCTATGTTCTATGTTCTATATCATTGCAAGTGAATCTCTTGCTATGACCGGTTAAGTAATACTGTTATTTGGCTAGGATAGTCTTACTCAGCATGAAAATGAAAGAGAGATTGTTGAAGTAAAATGGTGTGGACAATCATGTCAAAGGTGCAGAGGTCAAGAAGGATATGAATTAATTGTGAAATAAAATCAGAGCCACAGACAATGAGATTGGTGACTTTGAATCAGGATCATATCAGTTGTGTGGCAAGGGTGGGAACCTGACTGGAAAAACACAAAAATGAAGTTATAGGAAATCTGGATATGAATTTGAGTGGCAACAATATGGTCAAAGACTTGGTAGAGGAGGAGACTGATAGTAACAGATTTAAAAGGCTGGGAACAGTACTCAAGAAGAGAAAACGGAAGACAGTAACAGCCACCCCGATGGCCAGGAAGGGATGCTGATTATTGTCCAATGTAGCAAAAATAGAGTGGAAAGAGTAAGTACATCTTAACTCTACAATGTGCTTGGTGACATGAGGAGGGACGAGAGAGGAACTTATGAAAGTGGATCTTTAGGGGAGTTTTAGCTTTGTGGGTAAGGGGTCAAGTGAGGAAGAAGGTTAGGAGCTCCTAGCACTTCTTGTAAGAGGTGGAGCAGGACAATGCAAGAATATAAATGTAACAAGACTACTAATAGCTAAGGACAAACATCAAGGTTTACAGCTACTTTCCTGGATGATTAAAGTAATGCACAATTCTTGCAAAAGATTGAAAAAAGTTAAGAAGTACTTAATATGGTCCTGGAGATCACAGATTAAACCAGTTCAGCGCAGTTTAAATCTGGACTTTTTAAATTTAGAGAACAGGATCTAGGGCTGTACCAGGGAAAACACTGAAATGGGAAATAGGAAAAGATTTACTGGGAATAAAGGAATCACAGGCAAAGGTGACAGAATGTCTCATTCTACAAGTGTGCAGTTCAACTAAAGAATGAGGGACAAATGGCTTCTGAAACAATAGTTAATGTTTCAACACCCAGATAACCCTTTTTAAAATCTGAACAGGATCCCAGACAATATTTGTTCTTCATCAACAATAATTGTCAAGAACTGTTTGTTAAAAGATGCAAATGAATTAATACTCTTCTCAAATCCTATGCATGGTCACAGCAATTATGTCATAATGAAGTAGCTGATAGTCCATTTACCAGTATCAGTTTTCTCTATTACCTTTGGTTTATTAACTTTCTTCTGAGATTGTGTTCAATCGATGCTGTCGTTTTTTTTAAATGCAGGTGAATATATAAAAACATTCTGACCATAGATGAACATATTTTTTAAAAATGATGATATTCAGCACAAAATCTAATAACAACCTAAGAATACGGATATAGTAATGCTTTCCACTCTGCACATTAGAAACATTAACAGAACTGCAGAAAATTTACATACTCACCTGCTTGCACATTAATGGTAGTTTTTGAAGTGTCCTTGCCTAATGCATTCTCAGCCTCACATGTATATTCCCCAGCATCTTCCACCTTCAGTTTATTTATTTGAAGTCTTGAGTTTTTTCTGCAGAAAGAAACCAAAGAAGACACTAAGGGATAGCAAGAACTGCAGATGCTGGAGTCAGAAATAACACAGTGTGGAGCTGGAGGAACACAGCAGGCCAGGCAGCATCAGAGGAGCTGAAGAAGGGTCCCCACCTGAAATGTCAACTTTCTTGCTCCTCCGATGCTGCCTGGTCTGCTGTGTTCCTTCAGCTGCACACTGTGTTATGTCAGACTCTAAGGGATATCCATTTGTAAATATATTTCAGAAGAACGAAATGGGAATGTTGAAAAAGACATGTGGATTCACAATAGAAGACTTTGCATCCAGTTGCAACCCATGTTTTGAATCATTTTCCTTGTTCCAAAAAGTTTGAATGTTAATCTTCGGCATAAATTACTGGTGCATTTTTTTCTGATAAATAAAACTGAAAACACAGAGATATACCACTAGGCAGCTGGCAATAGTAGTATCGGACTATTAGGACATTTATTTCTTGCCAAATGAAACTACTGGGACTTAATTGAAATAACAAGTCCTGAATTCTACTTTTTCATATCTAACTAGCAGTACATTAGACATAGACCTTTGGAAAATTAAACTGCATTACTTTAATGTCCTGTTATAAGATTATTAATACCGTTAATGTGCATTTAGGTTACACTGTCCCTGCAAAGATCAAACATATGGGACAAAATATTGCAGTAAGCAATGAAACAAGAGTGTTCACTGCTGACCTTAGAGAAAGCAACTCTGAAAGATCTAATGATCCCTGTGGTGTTTTCCATTCTTCAAAGCAGTTTAAATCAGGCGCCAGGTCAAAGCAATTGCTTGGTGTGTGCAATAATGATGCCAATAAGCAGATTGAAGTATTCTGCCTCAGCACTTTCAATTTAAATGTTCAGATAGCAAAATAAATGACAATGACTGGATTCAGATAGATTCTGACATATCGATATAAACAAACTTCTAAAAGTTATGACAGGTAGAACTTCTTTAAGATCATAACTGAAAATGCGGGTCAATGAAGGTGTTTAGCAATAATCGTCAAGCTAGGGTGTCATCAAAAATTCAGTTACATCTCATTCAACAAGTTATTTATTCTTAAGGACTTAAATAGTAAGCAAAAGAGCACAGAGTGAAAAAAATGCATTGTCCATAAGAGTTCCCATTGTTTGCAATCTTGGGGGTACCTCAACAGCTCATTTTCTGGATAAGCACAGAATCAGTGACAGCAAGTCTTGGATTTCCACATTATACTGTGCACTTGCAGACTCTAAACGTTTCTCTCAGACCTGGATTTTGACACAGGCCATACAGACTTCAAAGACCTTCCAAAATGTCTTGTGGAACCAGATTCAGAAATGTCAGTGTTGCCCTGTTTCTAACTCATTCTGTTTTTTGCTAGGGTTTGTGCGGGGTTGGGGGTTGGGGGCAGGGTGGACACATGTCACATGACTCCCACATATAGAGATCCAAACTTAGTAGGCCTCACATTTGCCACAGCAATGGTCCTATTCCCAGAGTGTGGGAATTATAGATCTTTAACGTTCTAAATGCTCTTGAAAGGTTGATAACAACCGTAGAACTGTAAAACTGTTTTAAAGTAAAACCTGTTTGCCTGCATCTGTAGGAGTTGAAAATGATCTGTTCTAGAAGTTTCATTAGGTGCTGATACAGATCTAAATGTTATCGTTGGATCATTACTAATGGTGAGTAGTTATCCATAATCTATCAATCACAGTTGGGGGGAAGGGGCAGGGGCTTTAAAGTCAGTTTGATTGACAAGTCAAAGGGTTTATTTAAGGATTAGTTGTCTTAGTTGTGGGTTGGTGAATGATATATGGGGCTTGTTTTAAAATGGGATTAAGTACTTGAGGGTACTTAAATGTTTCAAACATGCTTTCATGAATGGGAAAACAATTTTTATATGAGGAACTCTGTAATCAATACTTCGAATTTTATTTAATCTCCCCTAGTTCCATAAGTCTGTCTATGGTGGTTTCCAAATGAGTTGGCAAAAAGGTGGAATAGGGGAGGGAGTTAGGGACAGACCTGAGTTGACATACAGGCACCAGGGTGATTGGTGAAAAACATGAGTTAGGAGAGAGGGTATCACGGGTCATTGGAAGTGGGTGGGGTCATGGTTTAACATGGGCTGGCATCTATGGGCTTGTAGGTGGAAATGGATAAGAGGGAGCATGAGGGGTGTGGGCTAGGAAGATCTAATATTTCAGACAATGTCTGGGGTAGAGTTGATGAGAACTGAAGAGGGGCTCGTTAATTAGCCTGGCTCAGCATGGAATGGCCCTGAGAGTGGAGGAGGTGGACCTGACTTTATCTTGTGCCACCACCACTCTATCCCCTCCCACACAAATATCCCAGCACCTGGGACACTTTCTCCATGAGGCTGGTGAGGTTTTCTGGAAAATTTTTTGATTCTTGTTACCTGACTTAGGAACAAAAATTCCAGTACCTGTTTCAGATGGGTTATGACAGTGACCTCTAACCATTTCAACATCATTACCATCGCAAAATCTGCTCAGTTGTTTTATACTGCTGCTCTAATTGCAGAAAAGTCATTCTTTCCAGTCTTTTGCATGGGAGAGGAATCAGCCTAAGGAGCATTTTGGCAAATGCAATGTGAGATTCATACAAATGATGAAGTAAATTCATGCAAAGCAATTTTTCAGCATACACTACCATTCAAAAATCACTTTTGTTCAAATTTCCTCAGGAAAAGAAAATAGGGTAGCTATGATCTCTACCAAAGTGTTCCAGAAAATTCCCATGCAATCAGTGAATTGTTAGCCAAAAGAAACAGGGTTAGAATTTGGAGGTCAAGTCAAATGATGTTTTCACATGTATCCTGTCAATGAGTCACTTGCTAAGGTCAAATCACCGATTCAGCTTCTCTGTTTAAAAATTATCTGTGGTATAGTGGTCTAAATTATGTGGAAAATATTTTGGAGAATTTTGTTTACAAAGGTTTCACTGTCTTCTATTTTAGACATCCACAGTGTAGTTGAATGGACCAATCCTGAAAATGGTTGTCAAAGATAGGATTCTGCAAAATTTCTGGAATGTTTGAATATGGATTTGTGATAGTTTGTAACATTGTAAAAGGTATTTAAAACATTATCACCAGCCTCTGAAAATGGCTATGCTCTTACTTGTCATACTGCATAAGATAATTTTGCATGGATAATGTATTAATATGGATAGATGATTGGTTAACTACCAGAAAGCTAACAGTGGGGATAAATGGGTGTTTTTCTAGTTGGCGATCAGTGGCTAGTGTTGTGCCTCCGGAATCAGTGTTGGGGCCTCAACTGTTTACAATTGATTTAGAGTTGGTGACCAAGTATAGTCTGTCAAAGTTCTCAGATAACACTAAAATGAGTGGGAGAGCTCAGTGTTCAGAGGACACTCTGGGATATAGATGAGTTAAGTGAGTGGGCAAAGATCTGGCAGACAGAGTACAATGTTGGTAAATGTGAGGTCATCCATTTTGTTAGGAATAACGTCAAAATGGACCATTATTTAAATGGTGACCCTTCAGAAAGGTCCAGACCCAAAACGTCAGCTTTCCTGCTCCTCTGATGCTGCTTGGCCTGCTGTGTTCATCCAGCTCTATACCTTTTTATCTCAGATTCTCCAGCATTGGCAGTTCCTACTACCCCTTTCATGGCACTCATGCTTTCTGGCCCGATGCAACAAACTGTGAGTTTTTGACTTCAATTGTGTGATTAGAGAGTAAAGCAAATGAATGGAAGGCACTTATCCAAAGTGGGAAGTAAAATCAAAGTAAAATCAATCTCATAAACAACCCAGTAAGCAGTTATATAGCAGCATTAACAGAAATAATTATATCAGTTTCTTTCTCCTTATATTGATTATAAGGGGAATGGCACTTTATTCATCATATGTAACATGTTTATTCTTCCTTTAGTAATAGTAAAGATTTATTTTAAGGATTCACTACACAAAACACATGCATTTTGATAGACACCAACATTCAGGATTTGGAGCTATGTAAAGGAGGATGGGGTCAGTGAAATATTCCAGCCCGTCAGATCCTTTTCAGGTCCCTGTACTTTCAGAACTTTAGGAAATTCTTTCATGGGATGTGGGTGTTGCCTTCAAGGCCTTGTTGCCCATCCCTAGTTACTCTTGTTTGATCAAACAAATTTAACAAGTAATTTTTCATATTTTCTGCATGCTCTAAGGATGTCTCAAGCACTGGCATGATACTCATCTTAATATCTGAATGGTCTAACTCCAAGGAAGTTAGTGGGGTCAGCATTTGAGTCACTTGCAGAAAATAATTACTTTTACGTCATAGTTGAAGAAGTAGAGATGGATCCTGTATATTTGTTCCCAAGCCAAACTGAGGCTTCTTCTATTATATTGGTAACAATGTTCTATTTATGCCCCCTCGTTCAATCCCAGACACTTCTTGTAGCCTTTCTGATTAGTCATGTTAACTGAAAGTTTTTAAATTCCCTTTATTAAATTCCCTTCATCTAATTCTGACATCAATCAGACAGAAATCATTTTCATACATGGGTGATTCAGTCCCAAGCTCAGGTAGAAAAAGAGGGTCGTATGTTAAAATACTACAGTTCCTCACCTCTACTAAGGCATACTTATTGTCTGTAGTTTTCACTGTTATTTTGTCTTCAACTATAGAAGTCTTGCTAAGTAGAAGTAAGTTAAGCAGTTCTTCACATAAAAAGTGTTAAATTCCCAATGAATTATTGATAAAATGTCAAATGTAAAAGTAGTAATCTATATTTTGTAAACTTACTTCCCAGTTTTTATCCTGATTTCTTTGTTTTTCTTTATCTCTCTTCCATCTTTGAACCACTTATAAGTGGGTCGAGGATTTCCTACTGCTTCACATTTCAGAGAAAGCTTTTGTCCTTCCAAAAGAGTTTGGTTCTTCAGTTTCTTCAGCTTTGGAGGAACAGCTGTGAAGACACAAATTAATCTTGGAATCAGTCCATTGCAAGAGTTTGTCCAACAATTGCCTTCAAATACTAAGAAATATTGACATGAAATTATTGTTACTACAAACAAAATGGTCGCCAAAACTTTTCTCAGAGGTTCACCCAATTGCCCATCAATACTTCAAGAGAAAAGTCTGGATGAACCACGTAAAAGAAGCTTTTGCTGATCTTAGGCCATAGTTATGGTGCAAGGTGATTGGTAGGGAGAACCCTGAGAAGATAACTGGCAATAGAAAGGCTGCCAAAAAAATGGCATACAGAGTAACATTTAGGATTTCTTTGTTAATGCCCCTCTAAAGTGGTGGCAGAAATGTCGATACAATGCCAGATGGCATAAGAGATACTTGATAAAAAGCAAATACATAAGAAAACTAGAGGAAGATTTGTATATGCATATGTTTGTAACATTACTGTTAACAGTTGTTTCAGATATTGAATGCACAGGTATGGAATCTCTCCCACTCAGTGTAGTTACCTGAAAACACTATCAGTAAGCTTAAAACACTGGATAGTGTGCTAATATTCCTTCAGTAGTTTCATGTTCTGGCATTATAAAAGGACTATTTTCAATGACCTGTGCATGCAGGTGTACCTTTCTGCTGAAATGCTGCAACTTAATTCCTAAAATTTCTTGCAGTGATTTCACAGATTTTATCCAGCAATTATCAGTATTGCTTTTCATACTATACATTGAGCTATTGGTGCCAGTTTGAAGTGTCTGCAGCAATGGAAAATTAATCAGGTGTAGCTTTACTGTAGCATTCTGTTCTCTGTTGCCACCTGTGCCTCCAAGTTAATACGAAGCTCAAAATGTTTTCAAGTACCATTTACCGACAATAGAATCATGCAAAAAAAAAAGCCTCTGGTGTGAAAATATAAAAATAGGGTGAGGTAAAGCTTTACTTTGGCAGGAATGCAAAATGCAAGGTTGTGCATTCGCTGCTTGCTAATAATCCCCACCCTCTTTCACTTTCTATTGCATAACACATAACATTACATAACACAGGGCCGTGTGCAAAGGAATCTACTCCATTACTACACATATTGCATACTGGCAAAGTTGCATTTCAGCCACTATTCATGTAATAAGCAAATTAAACAGAAATTACATGCATAATAGTCATCAGAGTCAATATTCTGTTAATTACAAATGCACTTTTAAAAAGGTCCATATTGTTTTCTTTGCTACAATAAGATGATAAATATAAATTACTTTTTGGCAAACAGTGAACTATGTAAAGTGAATCCCTGTATAGTACAATTCTATAGAACTTGAGGATGTTATGCTGCAGAAGTAACACAGGAATAATAGAAACTGGGTAAGCCATTCAGCCACTCACACCTATACTGCTATTCAATAGAATCACGGCTGATCTTATTGTTTCCATAACTTCACTATTCTGTCTGTGCCCCCTAAACCTTTGACTCCTTTGCTGATCAAAAATATATCTAACCCAGGCTATACCAGCATTCAATTAGTTTATAAGTAATCTGTACCTTATCCAACCTTTGCTTCATATCCTGGAGACCCTAACTTAAAAATCCATAGAACATTCAGCTTTCTATTTTCCATAATACTCACTTTCCTGCTTTTTGTTGTTTTTTATTCTTATCTGTTCTGAATTTAAGGATCATTCTATATTTTAGTTTGATTGAAGGACAAGATTACATATGTCATGATACTGACCTCTGGCTACAAGTTAGTCATTGGTTGTTCAATCTGTCATTATTGGATATTCATTCACACTGGAAGCTCAATTAAATGAGTAACAGGATAAGAGGAACAAAAGAGATGAAATGAAAAGGGAAAGACATCTGAAAGATGGACAAAACATGGAATAAGAAGAATAAGTTGGTAAAATTAGAGAGCAACTGGGAAAGAAAAGGGAATAAGCTATTGGCCTTTAAATTTTATATCAGTAGACTCAAAATTACAACATAAGATCTGTAAACCACCGAATATAGATCATTGATTTAAATCATTATGGGTTTAGTATAATTTTAGAAAAGCAGATAGAAATGGAATATAACATTTGGCTTCACAATACAAAGTAATTCAACTTCTGAAAAATCCAGACCAAGGGAAGTCATGAAAAATTTGCAAAGAGATTTGGATGCTCCTCTTGACCATTGTTGGAAAGTTTCTTGTTGTTCTGCCAATTTACAGTCGATTTGGTGAAAGATCGTCAGAAATCTCTGGAGTAATTTTCAATTTAGGTGGTTGTGGGAGGAGCGGATACAATACATTCCTTCAGGCCAAGCCTTGAAACCTAAGTCATTTTACAGGGCTGAACCACACTGAGACACTGTTGGCAAGCAGCAAATGTATAGCACCCACAGGCAATATATTTGTCAGCTGGGTGTGAGGAGAGAATTCTGAAGGATTCTACCTGAAGCTGAAATTAAAGTTATGTGGGAGGTAGGGGTAGCCATGGCGATGACGGTGAAGACAATTGGTAATGGGCCACAGTAATTATGCTCCTCCTATCCACACAACAAACTTATAGACACTTGTTTAATGAGCTACCTGCAGTTGGATCCTTTAAGTATAGTAAATGTCTGGTATCAATGGGCCTGATTTTGTTAGAGCCCAGTGAAACAAGAATCACCATCTTGAGGTTTCTGCCAAATGTACAACAGCTAATCAGGAGAATTCCCAGGAAATTTCCAATGCATTTATTTCACACATTGGAACTTCACTACTTAGCATGTACAAAGCTAAGATGGCAATAAAATAAAAATATATTCTCACAAGTATTTTTGAACTTCCCATTTCTCAAAATGAACATAGTAATTTGAGTTATATTGCAGCCCATGCCTATACACAAAAAAGTAAAATATTCAACAGTCATTGATCCACAATTCATCTTTACTTATTAACAAATTAACATTATTGTTAACAAATAATAAAGCAGGAGGATTTTGTTTACATTCAAAATAACATTGAATGTAATCTATACAAAAAAGACATTTTACCAAGACATTTAGAAAAGTCAAAAATCTCCAGTGATGCTGAGATTGTAGGAGAAACATTATATGTCATCGTTACAACTGTAGCAAGATTGTTTGCAAGACCAAAGGAGAAAGCTGTTGAAACTGTAATTAGCAATAACTTGAGTTTCAAAACCCTATTTCTTGTTTGGGAAAATCCCTAACTGAAATTGAAACTAAATCTTCAGATTTCTGGAAAGAGGCATGAGTGGTATTGGGTGAATGGAGGGGTTCTGCTTAAGGGTTCTAGGCTGTTACATGAAAATTCTGGGGAAACAGACTGAACATGCAGGCTGTCCCAGAAATGGAGACTGATTAAATCCAAATGGGACAAAAACATTGTTTTGGAATCACATTATAGCTGCAAAAGTACAGGCAGAGTATGGAAAATCATGTGGGTGGAAGCCTGGTTTGGATTTAACCAGAGGCATGTGAAGTAAAGTAACTACCAGTATGTCAAATTATTTTACCAAAGCTGGCTGCACGGTACATGGAGATGTCTAAGTAGCAGGATGTAAATGATTCTGGGAATCCACGTCATCAGGATGTTACAAGCAGGTTAAAGAAATGTGTCCTTTTGGTGATGAATGTACCTATGCAACTCAAATAGAGTAAAGCTGCTGTTGGAAATGATCCAATGAACAAATCTGGCTTGAAGAGTAGGAGTTGAACAGTACTAAAGGAAGATCAAGTTTTGAGGTTTTTTTAATAGTAAAATGTGCTGCAATCAATGCTAAGGGGATGGGCAACAAGCTATATTCGTTTTATCTGCTATTTACTGTGTAACTTATAGATTCTACCAAATATAATTTGCTTTCTAGTTCTTGACTTTGCATTGATTGTAGTTTGACTGTCAAAACAAAAATTATGAAAAATGAAAACTTGTCTCTTGGTTTCTTCCATTAGATTGTTTTGTTCTTTTGGAATTTATTGGTCTACATGGGGATCATAGAAACTGCCAGGTAATCGTTTTTAGCTTACCTCTAGATGATCCATAATAGCAGGTTTAACCTAGCTCACTCTAGAGACTAGTATTGTCATGAAAACCAAATTTTAAAAAAATGGATTTTATTTATAAAACAGATGCAACACCAGCAGGATTGAAACAGCATCAATCTAAATGTAAATTTAATACATATAGATCATTTTATGCGTAAATATTTGTCCAGATATCTATGTTTTGAAAACCTTAAATTGTTGCACACTTTCTGTCAACTTTTTGTTGCAAATTCCTCTGTCACGTGCATAATGAAATGGTTTATGTAAACTTCACTACAATCACACAATCCTCCAGTGGCACTGTAAGCCTGTTTTATGTCTTCAATGCCCTCTGCCAGTAAAACCACTGCAATCAATGAAATTAAATGTCTAGAGCTATGTATAGATGGGACACTGATTCAATTTCAGCAATTCTGCACCACTGTCTAAGACAAATTTGTATCCTTGAACTCCAAACTTGACAGCTTACTAAATTTCTAGCTAAACGTTGAACTGTAATAATATTAAATGAATTTATGATGTAAAAAGAGACAATATCTGATATTAAAGTATACAATGTGCAATTCAATTTATCCTCTATTATTACTTTGGCTGAAGTATATGGTTAATCTTGACTTGTTTGAAAAAAATATAGAGTTAACTTACTCAAAGATAGTGTGGTGAACATAACTTGACCTGGCCAAGCAATTACAGTAACTGAATACTCAAAAATCTCAAGCATTAAATCTTACTTGCTGTATTTCTCCTCTAATGGTTGACTGCTTTATGTTATGACTGTCTTTCCTCCCCCAGCAGAAATAGATAACCTTGAAATATTTCCTAAGAAGTGTACATTCCTTTCAAACTTCAACAAAAACCCCAGTGAAAGAATGTTTTGTGATGGATTATGTACCGCTACTGATGACAATTTGAAATGGCTTTCATAACATGTTTGGCAGAAAAAAACAGATATTGATTCTGTATCTTTCCCT